GATGCCTTTCAAGACAATGGAGATTTTAAAGGATAAAGAAACTCGGCGCGTGGCAGCTGGGTTTATCAGTCTAGCACAATGAAAGGAACAATAGCTGAGAGTGGAAGAAAAGCACTTAATTGACATCGTGAAACTAGCTAGAGAAATGTAACGTCGTAGGAACGAGACTTCACCAACAAAAAGGGTTCGTTGCTTTACGTGGGTTCCCAGCGTCTTCTTGTTGTTAGGAATAATTAGGAATTCGTTGTAATTTGATTATAATTGAGCCATATTAAATATCGCGTTTGTTTAGTTCATTCAAATTCGGCAGCTGTTCGTTGCATAGAGACAACTAGGAGAATTGTAAACTTAAGGTTGCGCCTAAAATGAACATTTCGTGTTAAAGGTTCCGAGCTTACACTCTTCGTTTTTTTTAAAGACTCAGAAAGCCGCTCAAATGTACCTAGCTAATTCTGTCAAGGGAGGTGTGCTTCTAACTCATTCATCTCTCTTGAGAAGGAATACTAGTCTGTGACCCATGAAGGACCTATGGGTTGCACTCATGGGGCAAATTGCTATTGTTCTGTCAGGGGTATTATATCCTCAGAAAACAAAACCCATAGGTTAGGATCGTCTTACAAATGCAACTGCTTGAACTTCTTAACTTGATTTTCAACTAGAGAAATCACTCTCTTTCTCATGAAGACTTTCCACCTCATCAAATTTTAACGCATCAGTGAGGAAGTGTCCAATTTGCCGCCATCGAAAAAAAAATTGAAAACATTTCCTCAAATCACGTTAAGTGCCACCATTAAGATCGTAGAGTTCATGAATTCAAGTACTTCTCAATCTAAAATGAGGCAATTGTGTTTCATCCGACCCCATCATTCATATCTGTTCTCAGTTCCATTCATGATCTCTGTAGTTGTTGTAACCACTCCTTAGATACATCCACTTGCCCTTGACATCTCGCAAAATTAGGAAAATTTGCATGTTCAATGAGGCCTAGAAACAAATTCACTTCAGGTAAAGAAGAAACAAGTTCAGTGAGATGAAAAAGCCGATAGAGACCTTAATTACAGAATTTACCAGCATTGGTAACCTCATTTGAACAACGGCTTTGAATGGTAATATCTATTTCAAGCCGTATGCTGGTAGTTGTTTACAGAGGTTGCGCGCTTGATATTGCGTAAGAAGCCAAGGAAACAGGAAGCGTGTAGGTCGACAGAAGTAAACAACTTCAGCTTTCGTCAGTGACAGGCGATCGAGAAGAGGAAGATGTAAAAATTATTCACGCATTATTGTAATACAATCATAAAGGAAATTTTTATTAAAACATTCACCTCGGTGTGCGTGGTTTCTTGTCATTTCAAGTTTCAAACAAAGCGATCTAATGAAAGGTAGCCCGTGTTTATTCAGTCCAGCTGAATTTTAACACAGGTGTGTCACACGTTCGATTAAAAACTTTGTCGTTTACGAAAAAAAATTATTCATACTTTATAAAAGGGTGTAATGAACACCTTTTCAATCTACAAAATTACTTTTTTAATTCTGTAATGTCCAACATTAAAATTTACGATGAAATGAGCCTAAATCACCGACTATTGTTCCAAAAGAATTTAAAATCAATCGTCGATTGGACTGCGTTTTCGTAAACTTCTTAGAATATGTCAAATACAATTGTCTGGGAACAAAAGCAATTGAAGAACCTACTAGCTGAAATAACATCATTGGACTTCTATTATAAAATGTCCCCTACTGATTTTCCACTTTATCACACAGTTTTCGCCGCAGAAATCGACCAGGAGACCATTCTTTGCAGCTGACACTAAAATTGCACGCGAACTCTCGCACAGTTGTTTCTTTCAACGCGTACCCACCGCGTTCGACTTCAAAAGAACATTGGATTCGTGGGTCTCGCCAGTTCTTTGCGGGATTTCAATCCATGCGTTTTTGCGTGCTTCGAGAGATGATCACTCCTCATGAAACGCTTACTGCAGATGCCACAAACGTAGCGTTTCTCACCCGTATGCGTGCGATAGTGCCGTGCGAGTTCGTCCGAGCGAGCAAACTTTTTCTCGCAGCCAGTCCAAGTGCAATGAAACGGGCGTTCTCCCGTGTGCGTACGGAGGTGTGCTTTCAGATGACTGCTCTTGCCGTATTTTTTATCGCAACCGTTGTAGTGGCAAGCGTGAATTTTCTTTTCCTGTTCGCTTCTCCTGCGTGAATTTCGGCGCCGGGTCTTTTGTTTTGGTTTCGTGGACAGTTCAGAGGGCGTGTCGTCGTTACAGTATCCTGTAACGCCACCATTCTCCTTCGGGGTTACAGCAGTCGCAAATTTTTCGCGCTCTGTTTCCTTGAACTGCACTCCGAAGCCGGCTCCTGCCTTCAGGTTCGATGTCTGATTCGTAGTGTTCCCAAGACATGAATGTTTCTTTATCAGCGAGCACTCTTCTTCCATCGAGGCCAGGATTTTCGCGAACATCAACAAAGGAGACGATGGCGTGTTCTCAGAGTGCACCGGCGCGGGTTTCTTCGGAAAAATTTTTGACATGTCGAGTAAACAGCGCGCAGCAGAAAATGTATCAAGAGCCACGCTCGATGAAAAGAAAGCTTGAGTAGCCGCCATTACGCTTCAGACTTTACAAATCGACGCTGTTGGACACCAGATAGGCACACGCAATCCCCAACAAAATCACCGGTTAATTTTCCTCTCGATGATTCTCCGCTTTTTTACGACAGGAACAACTCTAGTACCTCACAATAGTAGAAGTCTGTGTCTAAGGTAAAAGGAAAGTCGAGCAAGAGCTCAAATTGATTAGATTAGCGCGAGAAGGACCACAGCTCTTGACGCGAACCAGCGTAGGAGGTTATGACCAATTCATGTGCGTATTCCCCGAGTTTGAATATTTGCGAGTGACGGCAACAGCTGGATTGGGTTGAAAGTGGGTTTTGTTTCCGTTCTCTGACAACAAAAGAACCGTTTCCGAGTTCGGGAGGCGTGGCCAACAAAATCCTGCTAAGCTAATTAATGCTAATCTCTGCACAGCCATTGGTCGCTACGTTCAATAACCGAAAAAGTACACGTGCTGAAATTGACAAACATAAATATATATATTTTTATCCGACGACCTCTCAAGTGCCCCGGTTGAAATATCGGAAATTCAAATTTCCTTTGTTGAGTTGCCCTTTGATGGATTGCGGATTTCGGGTTGCGTGGTAGCGGAAGACGGGCGCCGATTGTGCTTCAAGAGAACAGCATCGTGTCCGTCGGTGTTTGCCACTGATTTACTTAGCGGATTTCGTGCAAAACAATTTTGTTTACACCTCAAAGAGAAGGCGTGAGCCACCGGTAACCCCCAAGGGAGACAAAAAAAAAAAAGAGAAAGGGAATTTGAAATGGCTTCAGTCATTCCTCCGACAAAATCACAGAAAGTCACACAACTAATAAATCATCTTGATGACTTTATAGTGGGCTTCTGCAAAAATTAAGAATTTAAGTTGCTGGTGGTTGTTCACTGGCCTACTTGTCCCTTTTGATTGAAGAAACCTCAAACTATGTCACGCCTACCTTGTTTATCATAATTGCCTTGCAGGTTAATAAACACCTTAGCAACCAGAGAACGGATATTTCACCTGGTGCAGGTCGGTGCTTAGAGGGAACAGTAGCACCCCTTTGTGTCGGCAACAGGGCAAATAGACCGCAAAAAATGTAATTCAACAGTCCGAGGAACAAATACAATTAAAACGTGGAATGCGATCAAGTGCGAAATCGAGATGCACGTGGAGAAGCTTTTTAAAGAATATCATGATGGCAACTATGCACTCGCATATATTACCTAAGTGTCAGAGGCTAATCAGGGGACAACGCGACTCTAAAGGATCCAACCGAGTTCGATTTACACAATTAACCTTTATTTTCTCTTAAAATACTTTGTCTTTGGGATCTACTTTGCTGTTAAATCGAGCTTAACGCCAGGGCTTTTACGCACATCAAAAACTCGATTAGTCCTACAAATAGCAAGCAAACATCGCTGTAGGTAAAATTTGGGCGTCGATTGTTATCTGCTGAAAATAATTGTATCAATCAGTCTGCCGCGCTTTGAGCATACAAACTTTGACATAATGCCAAAATGTCATAAATACGCCCACTAGTTGTGCGCAGGGAAATTAGTAAGTTTTTCGACTTCCTACCCACAAAATCACATATTGACCATTCACAAGTATCTAGGCTATAACACATGCTTCATTTGAAAACTTTCGCAATTGCACCGATCTCATAACCTTCACATGTTCACCATCCACACTTTTTGAGAGCTTGTATAAAGGGGTAATTGAAAATTTTGCGTCGCTAGGTTTCCGACACACCTATGCATCCATCACGCCACGCGTCTCACAGAGGCCAAGTTCATGCATTTTGAATTCTACGTGTTTATAAATGTTTGCATCTACTCGACCTTTGACAGCGTAAACGACTCGAGCGTCAGACATTTGCTTCATTGATATCATCGGAAGCATCAGCTCAGTCTCGAGTTAATAGAGCAATATGTGGGAATAAAGTAACCTTCGTAGACTGTACACGCAAATCGAGACAGTTCACGACTGTTGACAGTTGTCAACTGCGTATTAACACTTTTACCAACCGCGCAGCTGAGTGCAGCTTTTTCATGTCAAAACGTGACTGACTGGCCCCATTAAATTTTTTTTCGCCTGTTTGATTGTTTGTCCTTTTCCTTTTTTTTTACATTCAATCAGAAAGATGCACGACGCAAGTAAATGTACCTAATGAATTGTTCCCTATTTGATGCACTCGTTGCGTGCACAATTGTTGACAGTCGAAACGAAAGATTTCGTGATCGTCACAAGCAGTAGCTGTTTGACGGTGACGTAAGTACTGTAACAATGAACTCGGCGCGCCTTTTTTTAATCCGTCTTTTGAAGAGTTTGTCACGCAATACCCGAACGTAAAGCATTTGGAGCATTCTAAAGTAGTGTGACGGTTCAAAGAAACCAACCAACACTACGTTACGCCGTTTTAATAATTTTAAATGCTATCAGCAACACTGGATATATGCTTTCCGCAAGGCTTGTGGAAGGTACTTCTCTCACGAGTGAATCCCGAGGTCCAGGATGGGAGAGATGTGGTGACTGGAGAATTCCGTTCTTGCGGCGTCCCTGTGGAATGAAAGGCCACCAAAAATTCCTCTCTATTGCTATAAATAAACGGGTGATTACTTTTTCTGGCTAAAATGATAGATGTTTAAGATCGGAAATGTTCTTTTGGTACTTTAATGGTAAACAAGGCTTTGATTGTCTCAGATGCATCACATAATCCAAAATAGAAGCATTCTTTTAATTCCTTGGTCAAAATTTCACCCCGAAAAGTGTCTGTATCAATCTCAGCACGCGAAATGGAGAAAAAAGAAAACAAAATTGGGCACACCCTGGCGCTCTCAGATACCTTCTGTGTTATTTTGGTTTGATTTCTGCTGCCTGTTGCATCTTGAAAATGACAACGACAATTTCGACGACATATCTTTCGATATCGTAGCATTAGTTAACAACATTACACTACCTTTGTGTTTAGAAAGGTAAACTTTTGATAAACGTCTTCTCAAGGGATTTCCCTTCTTAGATGACGTACTAGTCTCTTTTCAAGATCTTGGCTAAGTAGATAATTTCGACAACAGCATGTCGCGTCTCTTTACTCATGTCATTATATACAAATCCACAGGTAAAATTACGACAAAAACGAAACAGCACAAACTTAAAAATGGGCAACAACAAACTGTGTGGGAAACATGAGGAGATATCAATTAGGAGATAATAATTAGTACATCCTACATCCTGAGACAGACTGGCATCTTGTCTAGACAATTTAAACGTCATCTTTCTTTTGTTCTCGCTATCGCGTTTTTTTTTTTGCGGTTACTCTGCGTTTCATGAGCGTTTAACGTCGCTCCGTTACATTTTTGGATCCCTCTAAGAAGAGGACTAGATTGGGTTTCGCGTCCAAGACGAGGAGATTCCGGAATTCAGCCCGTGGTCCCGCCAAAATGGCAAGCGTTTTTGATAATCGCACAGTTTCCATTACGTATTACATAATGTCAAATTGCAGCAAAGTAATCATAAAATATTTCACAGCATATTAAAAACGATTTATTCTTCATGTTTAAATAAATATTTAACACAAAATTGTGATCCCAAGAAATAAAAACAGATTAAAATTAAGGTAACATCTTCCTCTAAATAAAACCTTGTGAAACACAACATTGTCCTTGACCCTTTAACTCCCAAGAGTGACCAAGACAGAATTTCTCCTAACAATATCAATACAGTGTCAAGCAGACAAATGATGAGAATATAGAAAAACATTAATTAGGGAATTATTAGTTGATCCAATACCAAATTCTCCAAACTAACATCACAAGAACTATAAGGCAGACAGTAAGGAGAATTACTAATGAGATCTTAGGAGTTAAAGGGTTAAAAAAAAATTCCAACACTCAGAGCTAATTGTATAAATAATATAACCACTATACAATATATTTTTGAAAACAATGATGCATCTTAAATAAATTAATAATGAAAACATGAAATTTCTATGAAAATTCGAAAGCTAAGAATGTAATCATCTGACGATAATGTGTTTTTGTGGGTTGAATTTCTAAATATATATATACATTTTTTAGGTATTGCCATTATGATAATTAAAGTAAAAAGCCCTATCCTAGATTGAAAATATCATTATTTTTCTCAAATGAAACTTTGAAAAAAAGTTACTTAACTAGATGTAATACACAAGTAAATTGTTTTAAAGCAATAAATGAGTCATGACTGGAATGTTATTTTGTCTCCATTAATCAAATCAAAAACCACTGAAATTTGGTGTAGAGTAGAAATTTTAAAATTAGTCTAAGCAGGTTACCTTAGGACACATTACCAGTATATTTCTATTTACTAGTTAATTAATTACTATCTACCATTCCTACATTGAAGACAAGTTATAAATTTGCAAAAATACTGTGTTAGTGTAATATATGAAACATTTTGCATCATTTTTCTGGGAATTTATAAGAATAAATGTATTTAATTTTACACTCCATTTTATACATATTCATTGTTGCATCATTATTGGGAATTTATCTGTTCCTGCTTTAGGATCAGTTCAACTGCTTGGGCAATATTCTCCACAACATGGTTTGCTCTCCTCAAGTGAGGATGAAAATGAGTGTCGCGATGTAAATAGCGAGCATCTTCCTTGGTTGAAGGCTGGTTGTCATTATCTTGAGTTGATACACCAGTTTGGACAAGAATTGATTCTACTTTCCTAACCCCAGGTAACCATTTGAATGTATTCTGTTCCAGTTGACTTGAGGAGTCATTTGGCTGATGTTTATAAGTATTAATATTTCCAATACCATCATCAAATACCTTTACATACTCATGACACAAATTGGCTCCATAAATGTCTGTATCCAGATTGTCACTAAAATGAAAATTAAGTAAATTTAATGGAGAATAACACATGGGCAAGCTAAGATATGGAGTCTCTTTTCAGAACACATCATCATTTGCTTTATCTAATAGAGTTTTATGTTACACCATGATGCATGTACATTTACACTGACCCAACAGCATATAGTGTTCTCAGATTGCCAGATGCTCCTCCACTGTTTTGATTCAGGCAGTATTCTGCATACTGGTAACTTGTTAAGTATGGCTTTCCTAGAAATGCTGAGTAAACCAATTTTTGACCTGTCAGTTTCTGGAAACAAAAATATTACAGTTTTTTAGGAGTATGTTTTAATGCAAGCAAGTGAAAAATATCACTATTTTTATATCTGATGACTGTTACAATCCAACAGCAGACTATCTGGTTCTCCTTAAATGAGAGTCATTAAAAAAAGGAAATGTATAGCAAAAGGCAAATTTCTGGTGAGGTGGAAGATTTCTCTATGGCTCAGAGACGAAACATTCTCTGAAACCATGTATGATACATCTTTAACTGGCTGTGACACTAAAGAATCTTACGATTCTCCGATCAACATCTAGAGATGAAATCAATAATTTTTCCTAAATATCAAACTCTCTATGAAACAGACGAAAAAAAAACTACAGCACACAGAAAATCAGTAAACTTTCAAATCACAAATGAATAAACTTCTACAAAGTGACTCAACCAAAAAACTGAAAAAACCTAAAAAAAAAACCTGCATATGCACAAATTATTTGCATGAAAAATTATTTGAAGGTGTTTTCAAATTTAAAATGTCTAACAACAACAGTACAATAGTAGTACTTTACACCAGTTTGGTTCTATCTATTCAATGCATCCTTTACAGAAATTATGCCAACAGCAACTACATGGCACTAGCAATCAATTTTATGACAGTCCTTAGGTTACATTTAACAAACACCTTAAGGGCTAAAATAAATAACAGATATCTTCACACCTTATAAAGATTTTCCAAGCTAAGCAAGAAAGCACCATGTCCAAATCTGAAATTTTTAAATGATATTATAGGTTAAAGTTTTAAATGCTAAGATCAGTACTGACAACTAATTTATGTTTCAACTCTGACAAAATCATCACTCTTTATGTGTACCTGGGTAATGAAACTTCCGCCATGTATATTAAATCTGTATTTGAAACAATTACAGGAATATGGGGGCTTGGTATAGACAGCACACTAGATGATGGGCTTCCATTGGTAACAAGCATATCAATAACCAACTGAAGATTTGTTTCCCATCTAACTGGCTCTCCAAGCAATACTATTGCTATATAGGACAAAAAGGAAATATAATGTAAGTAATTAAATTACTTTACCTATTACAGATAAAAATTGGTTTTTTTGCGACCTGGTTAGTTTGGCTGGCTAAGGTTAAATAACTTGCATTGTGTGACTGAAAGATAAGTTCATAAAGGAATAAAAAAAACATGTTTTTTTGTCTTGTCACGAGCGTGAGACAAAGAAAAAAACTTACCATCTCTCTTATTTCTATCTACAAGATAAGTTAATTTTGAATAATCTATTCAACAAGTTCCGAGCATCTACAACAATGCTAAAGGAAAATACAAGACACAAAACACTTGTAGGAAAAAGGTTTAACCCAGGATCTGATGGTTAATTCTCTCCTCCAGCTGCTATACATTTCTTTGTGAATTGGTTATGAGAATTTGGTGTTCCATCAATATAATATCTTGTACCTAATAAGTTTGAATATTCTCACTACCTGTTTGCTGGATAATGTATGGATACCATATGGAGAAGTTACATGTTAATCACTTCTGAGAGTTAAAGGGTTAAGTAAATAAAACACACTGTTAAAAGGGGTGTGAAACATGATAAATAAAGGGCAGTGTAATTTTTATAAAGTATGAAATTATTGGTATAGAAATGATACGTGTAAAAATCAAAATAATAATCATAAATTAATGGCTGCAGAAATATAAGACTTATTTGTGAGAAATGAAAAATATTACACATTCAAAATAACAACTGAAGTAGCTTGTCTCAGCAAAATTGATTCCTCAGCATTTTTCTCCTGAGTTAAAAGTGTAATTCTTTTTCATAATTCCAGTGTAAAAGATTATGGCAAAAGACATGGATAGCCTACCTGAATGGGAAAGGTGAATAAATAGCCTACTCATACACATGCATGCCTTACAAATAAATTTTCACTTAAAACTTACCTTCAATAGGTGGAAATTCTTCAGGAGCGTAACCAAGCTGAAAAAAAGAGCAAAATCTACTAAGTTTCTTTTATTGTTAAAAAGTTATTGGAAATGCTAGGTTATAAGTAAAGGAAAACAAGTTACACAATATAACTTCTGATGCATTTCCCAAATCTTGAAGCATTTTTCCTGACAATTATTTTACATTATATGATATGGCATTCTCACTTATAACATTTTGGAGGACAAACCCATAAATTACGTCACCATTAACAGCATTTTTTCTCTTTTAAGATAAAAAGCAAAGATTCTGGACTGTTGCCATGGACACATTTGGTTGCACCGCATGTGCCACTTTTTTGTTCTTATCAATTTAAACGACATTGTGTGGATCTGACTATTACTGAACAGATGCACAACAACAAGGAATCTATTTGTTAAATGGCAGATAGACAATTGTTTGAATAAATTATTTTTACTTACAGAAGCAAAGTCATATCTACGTTCCCTGTCTACCATGTCCAGCAATGGATATGTTCTTCGCACATCTTCAACATCAGATACCTTGGTAAATCCATATCTTATTTTTGTAAGTTAACGAAAGTAGCATTATTCATCTCCTTGATTGCTTTGATTTGTCTTATTTTGACTTTTTTGATGAACATGCTAACAACTCCTAGTTTCCACTACACTTGGTGAAAAAGATATAGTTTGCATGCAGATCAAAAAGCTCATATTGCCAATAAAGCTCATTGATGTTCCTGAACATCAGAGCCCAGTTGTTCAAGGCGTGGATAACGCTATCTACCAGATAAATCACTCTCCAATGGATAAGTGTTAACAAATTGTAGTGTGCTATCCAATAATTAGCGTATAGCACTATTCACCCTTTGAACAACTTTAGCCAGAGGTTTCATTAAGAAATACAATAGTGTAATGCACTTGTCTAAGTGAACCCTGACTCTCCCCTCCTCTTCCACCCCAGAGATATATATATGTTCCACTTTGGTATGGATTTGACACATCATGGGTGTTTCATATCCCAGAAATTTCAATTTTTTTTTTTGCCTGTCAGTGCGAATGTGGAGCATTGGTCTGCAATCGACCCATGAAAACATATTCTGTTCTTGGACAGATGTACACCATTATTAATCTTCCAGCTCACTGAAACTTCAGCAACGTGCCCAAGATATATTGTGAAAGGATACTCTTCAAGAATTTCTTTAGCACTTCCTTGACCAGATACCAAAACATGTTTGTTATGAAGCCAATCAAACATTTTTAGAGGTGTATGTGATAAAATCATCTGATCTTCTCGTACCTAAAAGTTAAAAAATATTTCTTCACCGTTGAACAATAATAAAGAGACATACCTTGAGGAACAAAGCAACCCCTCTCAAATGGTAAATTACTAACCCTACCCTTCTTTCGCTTATCGATCTACTAAGCCATCATGATTCACCAAGCCACTCCTCGCCAATAATATATTTTAATAACTTACCTCAAAGCCGATCCTATCTGAAAGATGTTCCGCCAGTTCCTTTTCCATTTCAAGGCCACCATTTGTCAAGAAAACTGTAGGAACATCCGACTTTTGAAGCAGTCCCAAGGCTTCTTTCGCTCCGGGGATTGGGTTCCGGCCCCTGACAAGAACTCCGTCGATGTCTAACAAAACCCCAAAAGTCTGCGCCGATGTTTTGGGTGAAGGCCTTGGAGTTGAATTCTCGCAGAAAAAACGAGCCCCGAAAATCCGTTGTACGGATATTTTTGGAGCGAAGGACTGCAGGAAGTGACGAGATGTTACGTACAAATTGTGTAGACGGGACATCTATGATACAGATGACGCTAAATTAAAAATTAAAAAGGTTAGAGCTTCCAACTTGAATTAAACAGTCTGTTAATCTTTTCTTTCAAATTTCAGAGGTCTCTTTCATCATACTACAGACAAATTGTGAAAATGCCGATAAGACGTGAAGAATTGACCAAATAATGATACATTGAACCCCAGCTAGGCAACTATCGCCATCTTGAAAAACTATGGCATGATGGGAAATGTTCTACAGATACCGTTCAAGTCGATAATAAGTCGGAAAGTCGAAGACATGTCTGTGGAACCGAGAAATTCCGATCTTTTCACGGACGTATTGCGAAATTGGAATCGCGTGGCTGAAGTCGCCATCTTGGCCACGTTCTTACGATAGATTTCAAAATCCTCCGATACTTTCGTTTTAACTGTCGTAACTGAGACAGTTTTTACTTTTTTTCGTCTGAAAGATGAGCACTGTAGACTCCTACGGGCCTGCATCTCAAACTTTGACTTTTTTAGACACTGAAGAAGCTGATTTCGGTGCGGACACACAAGGAAGCGAGTACGAATTTCACGACTTTACAGTACCTTCGCAAACCCAAACCCAATCTCAAGCTTCACAACCTGAACCGAGCCAACCTTTGGTCAATGGCAACGTCGCAGACAAAAAAGAAGATCTAGCTAACGGCCCAACAACAGGAAACGAAGAAGCTAAGGTGGATGGTACCGTTTCTAAGGTTAGCAACTCTTTGGGGGAGCTTAACTTTGAAGAAGATGAGGACGAGACTTTTTACTCGAAGGATCTTCCAGCCTTCGCTTGCAGGTGCGTTCAACGTTAAAATCAAATATTCAGTTAACTGCTTAACGGTTCCATAATTATGTTTTCCCAGACATCTTAAATTGTTTTCTGTTTTTCGTCAAAGTGAAATCTGGGAAAATGGGTTTCCATAATGTAAGAAAGGCTTACAAGTGTTCACCTAGATCGACACTGCATGTCCGGCATGGAGCGAGATTCAGCTGTTTCTTGACCCGCTTAAAAAAAAAATCATGTCGTTTCTTTAACTTGAAAATGTTGCAAATTATTAATTCAACTCGCTTTGTTCTCTTTTAGTCTAAAATTTCTTTTTTATTTTAATAAGTTTAGCTGAACTCTTTAATAACACTATCTTACACAACCCAAAGGTCGTAATTGAAGAATTGAAAATAATTTGCAGCACCTAAATACAGACTTCAATTTTTTTCTCGGTTTAAAAAAAAAGAAGAAACCCAAAGTTGATCCAAATTAGGTTGCAATTTAAATGGGGCATTTTAAAATTTTTTTGGACAAAATTTTTATGGCTGTAGTCATGTTAAGAAACTCAATAATTCCCTATTAATCCTTTAACTCCCAAAAGTGATAAATATGTAACTTCTCCAAATAATTTATACATATTATCTAGAAAACAGGTAGTAGCAAGATTAGTAGCCTGGAGGCTAACACACAGCTGTTCCTGACCAAATATATTTCAATATATTTATTTTTAAGCCTCTTACAATTGTGTGTTTGTTAATCAATGATGTTTTAAATTGTGAACTACACTGAGGGGTGCATTTCAATCGAGAATTGTAAAACCAAAACCAAAATAATTGCATTGGCCAACCAAAGCAAAGGAAACATCCTATCAAGAAAACATCAAGATTGGTTAAGAAATTGGTGTGAGTTATCTGGGGTAATCAAAGCAATTTGGTTTTATCATCAATACCAAATTGAGAACTGCTCTATTACCATTATCAGGGTTATCATGATCCAGATCATTATAATTAATTTATTTATAGATTTGCACTTCCGAGCATGTAATTATAATATTGATCAATTATGCCTGCAGGTATTGTGGAGTTCATGACCCAGCATCTGTTGTGCAGTGCATTCAGTGCAAGAAGTGGTTCTGTAATGGGCGAGGAAACACTGCAGGCAGGTTTGTGGAACAAATTTCAACTCGGTTATGGTTTTATGAAGGATATTTCCACTTAGTGCATGTCTACCATGCACTCATTTGGAACAGTGGTAGACAGGGTGTGAAATTAACTTTTTTTTTTCTGATAGCCACTTGGCTCCTAAATTCTTCAAAGTGGTAGCCAATTCAAAAAAAGTTGGTCACCATTTTCAAAGACAAACAAAATCTTTCTTTACGCTGTCAGCGTTCTAGATAGACCCTTCAAAAAGATCTTTAACGTACTACAAAGTGGACACTAGGATGGATGATATACAACGTTCAGGCTCATCTAAATCCAAGATGGTGTCTAGTTATCGATCGAGATGCATGTGCTATGTTTTGGAAACAAACTTAACAAGGAAGTTTGCCGGGGATTTATCTTTGCAAATCTTTTTAATTCACTATATCTCTTGGTAAGGTTATGATGAAACGTTCTAGTCGCCAACTTGGCAACTAACTTTCAGGATTTGGTCGCCAAAGTGAAAAATTTAGTCACATTGGCGCCTGTATTAGGCGCAATTTCACGCCCTGGTAGAGACTAAGAATAGACTGCATCTGACTGGCTAAGTAGCCCATACTGTGAGAACTTATCTTGGCTTTTGAAGCATGAATTAATCAAGGAAAGGTGCTCATCCCCTCAGATGGGATTGATGCTAGTTCAATGCTGCTTATCCCCA